TACTATGTAGAATTTGAATTTTATTTGATTCGATGTCTCTAATTCAGTTGCTACAATTAATTATTTTCATACGTTTTGTAGTATTTTTTTTCCTAACAAGGGGGAGGGCGCACCCTACGGGTTCGGTGGCCTGGGGCAATTGCCAAGCCCTATGGCCGGTACTGTGTACCTTTACTTAAACAAATAAAAATACCCTTGCTTTGTGCTACATTATGAAAAAAAAAATCTTGGCCCTCTAATAATTAAATAAGTTAAAATACACAGTCGTAAAATGAAATGGATATTGACGAAAAATTCATGCATTTAACAGATTAGATTGGTAGAAAAAACATATTGTAATAATCCCCGGAATGAGTTGTAGACTTTCTATGCTGATTAGAATAGTTCTCGTTATTTATCTAGAACTAAATCCCATATATCTGAAATGGCGAGTTAGGGGTTCAAGGAAAAAAATTATGAACATGAAGTATATTGAAATACAGGTGAAAGTTGTGTGATGTGCCTACCGCTGCATAATGTTTTGACTATTAATTGGTCCCATTCATCGTTATTAACTGGTCTGAAGATGCAATAATCTGATGCAACTTGTCTACACAAATATTCGACTTGGTATAAGAAAATTTGGATTAATGCCAGTTTTCCCATACAGAACTGATAAAGCAAATAGAGGTGTATTTACTTTTAATATTGAATTATCTAGAAAGGTGTCATATATGAAATGTCGAATAGAACACAGGCCATTTGCTTAAAAAATAGTGAAAATAAAATTATGCTAGATGAAAAAAAAAATCTCCGATCTTCACTATGAAAGATATTCGCAATGACAGCACTTGATGTCATTATAGAGAATATTCACCATCACATCTACGGAACTTTTTTTAAGCAGTTTCGAATTTTTTAAGTGGTACATATTTCTATGGTGTTTCAATTTTAAGGAAGTTTCAAACCACGAAACAACAAGGAGGAAAACATAGAACACATTTAAAATCTATGATTTATAATCTTCCTAATTAACTTCCACTTGCTCTGTTTTTTAGAAGAGAAGAGGGTTTTTTTTTGGGACAGGAGGGTGCACTATCGACTTTCTAGTGATAGATATTCGTTTTTGTGTTGTTTTCATTTTTTAAAAAAAAGGTAAACTAATTTATTTTATTTATTAACTTTTTTTTTTTGTCCTCCCCTTCCTCGCCTTTAAGGTTATACGGGGTTTACACGTGCCAGAGAGTGAGGGCGGGGATTCTAAAGACCCCCTGCACTGGTACGCGAACTCGTGACTATTTTTATACAGTTGTTTCATGTATCAGATTGCACATACGTAAGCCCATTCGGCCACCCCGCCCCCTCTTTATTTATTAACCAAACAAAAATGTAGAACATTAGATTAAATTTGAAATCTGCAAATTTATTTACAATGAGCAAATTTTTTGGCAGCTTCACAGGTTCCCATCACGTCCGGGATATAATTGTCCAGGTAAAAGCCTTAATACCTAATTACACCTGATGTTGGAATTTTAATGTTATTAAAATATATTTCAAGGGAAGTCTAATAATATAGTTACTGGGCAAAGTCTGATTCTCAAAAAAAAAAAAAAAATAACAAAAGGTAAATCTAAACTAATATTAATGAGAACACTTTTTGGACGCCGTTCCCCAGATTATATTTTGGAGCTTAGTTATGTTATCACCATTTATCTATAACGTATTGATTTATGGGTTGATATTTACTAATTTAATGTTACATCTTAATATTTTTCTACATAACTTCAACGAAACCTAAATTTATACCTTTCTGTATACTCTCGGAAATCTTCGTGTCAGTCAGTATGTCAGTATTTTGCATCGATTCGTTTATCTTCAAGTCCTATAATTTTATTTTCATTTCTATCACCATAGCTTGTTATGACATCGATTATGTTTTCGAAGGACAGGTCTGAACGGCGTTCAGTTGTGTCAATCCTTTTTGCAGACATGATAATTTATTATTATTATTTTATTATTAATATAATAGCTGTCATCTGGGACAGCTGTTGATAAAATAATAGCTGGAAAATTCTAGCTTTTAGATTTTGGAGTAAGAATTTAAAATAAACTGTTAATTATAGCTTTCAATTTTTATTTTTTATTTTACAAGCAATCTATCGTAAGATGATTTTGGGTCTCCCCCCCTAGAGGTCAATTTCATAGTTCAATAACGTTTCGAGCTTTAATTTTTTTTTCAACATTTCGATCCTCTTTAGAGCTGAAAACGAATAATTTTTGAAAAATAATTATTTTTTTAGTTAAATGGCGATTGTGTTTAGATGCTTATATAAACATTAAATAACATAGAAACAGCCGAGCTTGTGCAAATGGTTTTCTTTGCTTGTGTGCGACACATCTAAATGTATATAAGCCCTAAGGCCATAGCAATCTCTCGCACTGATTGGGTGGGATTTGACCAACAATGGCCTTAACATTGCTCGTTTCAATTTCATATAGGCGACCAGATCGTTGAGTATCAAACCCATGGCAAACCCATTTTGACAGGTGTGTTCGGTTAAGGCATCGCCTCCATAAACACTGCAATTTTTCCTATGAGCTTTTGCATCACGCTTACCTTTTTTAAAATAATACAACAAAATATGCCGATAATGAATGATATTTTCTTCCATATTCACAGTTCAATGACATACACAATACTTTGCTATTTTCAACAACTGTTAACAGATATAGTTGTTGATATATTACAAACAGGATAAACAATCCAACTTAAGGATTAATTCATCAGATACGAAGTGTATCATATTGACATAAAAATAAACAAAATAAATACAAATAAAAACCGAAATCACTTATTTGCCAACCCAATATAAATCTTTATTGGGCCCAACTATGTTATATGGAGTATGAAGGTAACAGGTCTTTCCTGAACTAGTTTAATTGGGTACTGCCAGCTACTTCAACCCTGCCTCTGAGTTACCGAATATAACTCCTTCATCCGACCTTTCACCTTTTAAATGAAATATTGGATTAAATATTTAATTCTATGCTGAATTTAACGGGACAGGAGACGGAAAATTATTCGTGTTCTCTAATATAACTTGATATGAAATGAAATTAATTATTTTTATTTATTATTTGAAAAAGTTATCTCATAAGATATCTCATAATTGTTGCAGATCATTTACTTTAAATAAGTTTTGTGTTAATTAGTAGCAAATTCTCGAATTAGAAGAATAACTTCTTTTAATTACATTTTGTTTTCATTATTACAGCAAAAATGATACTTTTATATGTTATTTGTTTCTTCTTGATTCGTATTCACATTTAGTAAGTGAAGTAGTAAGTGCGTTATAAGTAAAAAAGAGAGTATTGTGAGCGTTTAAGTATTGGAATCTGATCAGTTGTGGATTCAACAGGACAAGTGGAGACTCTTTGAGAGTCCGGAGAAACGTCCTCAATTTCAATAATATATATAAATATGATATGCAAATACAATTTTACAAACTGTATTATTAATATGTTGCATTGTAGCATAGGAAATAGTGCGAAAATATATTACTTATGAATTACGTTCCATAACAATCTATGTGCAGAATCATATTCAGTTCTACTTGTGCATTTTTTATTGTGCTCTTTTATTACATAAACTCTAGTGCATGTGAAACGTGCAAAATGCTTGTGAAACATGTTTCATTTTAATGGTTATAATATTCTTAACTTACTTAGAGATACAAAGTTTTAGATTTCTAGTTTTTTGGTCGTTCTGATCTGTAATGTACTGTGAATATAATCAATCAGTCTATTGATATTATTGATGTATATATATATATATATATATATATATATATATATATACACACACACATATATATATATATATATATATATATATATATATATATATGCCAAAAAAATGTGACAAAATTCACTGATATATATATATATATATATATATATATATATATATATATATATATATATATATATATATACATACATATGTATGTATATGTATATATATATAATCAGTGAATTTTGTCACATTTTTTTTTTCTTTTTTATAATTTGAAATATATTAAGGATGTTGGAGATTTCTGGTTTCCACGCTTCTGGACTCAACTTTGTCGGTTTCTAATGAGAATATTACCACTCTATTTACTTATTACTAATATGAATTATAGCAAAAGATCTCAGATAATTGCCAAAACATATACGTGACTTCATACATTTGTCTTTGTTGAGAAATTTACAAGAAGAAACGTTTATAGCATGTAGTATAACCAACCTTAATGGTCTTCATAACTTTAGGTCTCTAAAAGTATTAACAATGTTTAAAACCTTAATTGATTTGTTAAATGAAGTTAAAATGAATAGGTCAATCAATTTAAAATAAATTATTGTGTACTGATTACATATTGCAATAATAATTTCTTTTACGAATCTAGGAATATGTTTATCATTGATTTTTGTAATTAAAAAATAAATAACTTTTGATAGAGATTTGCTTCTCTCATTTATTTCTTTTGAAGGACAACATCAGTCTATCCATCAGTATATTTCGTACGTATTGTGAAATATATTGAAGTTGAATTGGAATTCGTGATTGTGCCATTAAACCAGAGATTGATTTAGAAACAGATAACGTTTAAAAAGAGCAGCCGAGTTCCATTTGAAATTAAACTGAGATAGAATGCTTTCTAGCCTGTCCTCATCCTCTCTGGTAGATTAATAGCAAGTGAGATGGGGTTTTCGCTTTTCTTTTTCTTTTGGTTATAAATCCTGATTCCTGATGTCTTTAATTCTCGTCAATTCAATAGATGTTACTGTTGCTAATGATTCAAAGTGCCAATCTTTGCATTATTTTATTATTGTATAACTATGAATGATATAAAATTAGATATTTTTTCAACATGGTGTGATATCAGATAGTTAACGTTAAAGTTCTTTTAATTCGGATTGTTTACGTACATAATCTGAAAAAAAAGTTGACAAATTAACTTAAATCTAGTGTCCATTTGTTAGGGTAGTGAGGAGGAATTGAGTTTGAAAGTAGGGGATGTTGGTGGGATGTAGAATGCTGGATGAGGGGGTTGTTCAGACCTCATGCAGACGGACCTGGGCTGGCGTCCTGATCGAAGGTAGGCCCTGGGGAGCCAGCCTCCTCGTGCCAGAGCGCCGATGTGCCTCTTCTCCGGGCTGGTCCAAGGATCCACACCTGCAAACCTCCCAAATCAGACTCGCCATTCATACTCAACTCTATCTACGGGACCGTCCCCATGCACAAACAGTGCTCTCTACCGGTACAACATCCAGGTTCTGGGAAACACTCAGGCATGCCTAACTAACACAGTCGTCTCTACAGGAATGGCCCAAACCTCATCGAGGAATGGGACCTTATAATGGCCATTATCGGGTTTTAGGGTTTTTAAGGTACTTACCAAAGAACCGTTTGTTCAGCGGCGAAGATTCGTCGGCCCATCTGTTGTCGGTTAGCATACCTCCAAAGTGCAAGTCCCCGGACGGCGGCACTGCTACTTCTCCGGCAATAGGAGCGATGAACGTTTCCCTTTTACTGCGTGTGTGGTTTTCTTCCTTTTCAACTTCGGAGATGTCTTTTTTTCGCCTCACAGATTGGTTTTTATCCTCAGTGATTTGAGAAGTTGACTCTTTACCTTCAGTTGCAGAGTTATCGTCTTTTAGGTTACTTGTTTCATGTTCTGGAGTTGCATCTGGCCCAATGGGCAGGCGGCCATCTCGAAGCAACGTTGCGACGTATCGTTTGGACATTTCATCAGTATCGGCTTCTGATACCTCTCTTTTTCCAAAGCGGTATGCGTACGGAAAGTCTCTGTTCTTAGCGAGTGCACCAACGTTTCTCTTCTCATTGTTGACGAACGGAATAGCATTGTTTGTATATCCATCCCTTTTACCACCGCGGTCCCTCATGATCGATTGTAGATTCCTTTTGTCTTCGATTTCTTCACTTCTCTTTCCGTTTTGGGGTAGATTAAAACCTCGAGCTAGAGATGCGACATTTCTCTTCTCTCCAATACCGTATACTTCGTTCATTAGCTCTTCCAATTCCTCATCAACTGTCCTTTTGTTATTGTAGTAACCATTTCTGGCCAGAGACGAAATCCCTCCACGTTTTTCATCTTCGAATTCGTCAGAGGATATTTTCTTTTCATAGTCATTTAAATCGTCTGTGAAGTCGTGTGTGGTTGTAATCGGTTTTAGGAGACCGATTCTCGCCAAGGCTTCTACGCTCCTTTTCCCAGGTATGCCACCGCCCCTGGCAATGGAAGCCAAAGATCGTTTGTCATTATCGGTATCATCATCCTGCTCCGGTTCATCATCTCTTTCCTTCATCAACTCTTCTCTCAATGCTTCAAGGCGAAGTCTTCTGAGGTCGTCAGCCGATGCTATGTCTCTTATCAGACTATCTACGTCGTCTCTTTTATCCTCGCGTTCCCTTGCAACTCTAAGGTCGCCTGTTCGTGCAAGGGCCCCAAGATATCTTTTGGAATCTTCTATAGGATCTTGTCCAAACGGTATATCTTCTAAGGAATGGTATTTTTTATTCCAAGCTAGCCTTGGATAGTCTCCATTTTTTGCTAGAGCTGCGATGTATCTTTTTTCGGGTTGTTGGCCGGATCTTACGGCCGTTATTGATCTTTTTTCAACGTCTCCCCTGACCTGAAACAAAAACAAAAACAATAAAATAAAATAATAAATAATTAATTTAATTGAATTAGTCTTAATAAAAATAGGAATGTATTTATCATTATGATTTTTGCCATATATAAAATATCTTTAATTTCCAATTACAATGAACCGATAGTAGATAACACTGTAAATAAAAAAGAATTGTAAAAAAGATTTATAATTATACTTATGAATTTCATGTTTCAATATTATATTTATTGTAGTATTATATAACCTATATTTATTCTACTCTTTGCTTTGTTAATTCTTTATTGACAGATAAGAATAAAAAAATTGATTGTATTAGTATTGTTATTTATTATATTAATTACTTTTTATATTAGTTATATATTATTTATCATACAGCTCCCTTGTTTTTATTTTTTAAATATTAACTATCATGATGATGGGTATGGAATGTGCATTAGCTACTCAATTCATCTGAGCACCGTTGAAACTTTATTCTAGTTCTGTTATTTAATTTATTTTTTCATTTTGCGAGTATCTTTTCATATATTACGCAAAAGTACTCAGCAAAGTCATAATAATTTTTTCGATAATTGCTTATCAGTTAGTGCATGCATTAATTTATTATTTTAAATAAAATAAAATAATATATCATAAAATTGTTAATAATTATCACCATCATGGTTGGTTAGAGCCTAACAAAATAATTTCCATTCTTTGCTGGTGTATACTAAGCATTCAATAAACCAATTCATAGGTTCTATTGCTGTAAAAAGTAGTTTTATAAGGAAGGATATATAAATTTAAAAAATGAGATCTTGTGATCGGAGAGTCAATTGTGGAACGCTGGGCGAAAAGTTCTAGGATGTAAGAAAGATTTTAGGTTGTAAGGACTTGATAGAGAAAAACATCTAGTAGGCGCTGTCGCCAGAAAGCAAGATAAAGCCACTTCAACTCGATATAACAGGAAACATAAGCCTGCCTGGAAACTCGAAGATGAGTTTTATGTAGCAATTCATAAGTCTCTTTAGCCTCATATCTAGCCTTATAGATAGCTCCCCGTACTCCATAGTCGAAGTAGCAACTATAGTCTAAGCAGGAGAAAACAGGAACTGCTAAAAAACTAGGGGGAAACTAGGATATATTTCGTGGAATAGAGTTTCACAATCTTAGGAATTGTATAAAGACTATTATGAAATTCGTATATTTCATGTTCAATTTACATGTATTTCATTCTTTGAAACATAAAATAAAAATATTCAAACGGATTACGAATTTGGCTTTTATATGAAATTATTTGGTGTTACCAGATTGCTGGTAAATGGCCAACGTTGATGGCCTCTCATAGTCATACCATACAATTAAATATATTTTATTTCGTGTCGATTTTTTGCTCATGTGGCAAGTTATGGTATAATCTCGTATGGTAAACAACGCTCTGGGCTTGGAATGAAAAATAAAAAATAAAACCATTTTAATAATTGCGAGATAAAAAATAAACAAAGCCTCCTGGTCTGAAAGGATATTAAATCTTTTATAAGAACCGCAGGACGATATGATTAAGTTAAGAATTATTTTGTCTGTTCCGGATTAGGCTAAGTTGGGGTTAAGTTGGTTTATGTTTCCATTTGGACTGGCCTGTTGGCAGCCCTCGTGTAATTCAATTCCTCGAAGAAGAAAGAACTTTCTCTGGGGTTGAGTTTTCTAATAAACGGCGAGTTGGGGAGTAAAGTAAATAATATGGATCCCTTTGCCCTCCCAATTATGCAATATCAACTTTAGGCCACCTAAAAACTTGCCCCACGTCTCCTTGTTCGATACTGTTCGTATTCAAATGTCGTATTGTTTGCGAGTTGGTCTTCGTTCTTTTAAAAGTTTAGGCATAGAGTTAAGGGTAGGATGGTTAAAGAAACATTGTCTTATTTCACTCTTAACTTGAGTCAGTATATATATTTATCTATTCTATATAATTTTCTATTATAATTGTACACGCTGGCGGATTTATGAGAGGGGGGAGGCTTTCGGGCTGAAGCCCCCCCCCCCAAAAACGGTAAAATATAACCATGTTTTATAGAAAAAATATTAAAAACTATATCTTAAAGTATTATTGTTCGTGTAATTACATTTAATAGGACTTCAAGAATCACTTGAAGAAATATTATTTCATATAGGTACTTCATTTCTTTCTCTTTTTTTTTTCAAATTAATTATCGTTATATGTATATATGAAAAAAAATCTTTAGCGTTGAATTCCCCCAAAATTAAATTCTGGATCCGCTAGTGATTGTACACAAAACAACTTCTAATATATATTTATTTTCTCAATTGTGTTTAAGTGCCTAATATTTTTTCTATTCTAGGAAAATATTATTTCGATGTAATATATGACCGAAACATTTTTTTTTCCGTTGGCATTACAGACCTTACAGATCTTTTGCCGCCTTCTCCATATCTGCCTATCTAGATCTATTTTCTAGATTCTATTGAGGCATTCATTGTTGTTTAGAAGGTTGCCATACCCATCTTAATCTCTGTGCCTTCACAGCATGAGGTATTGATTGAGCAGTTTCTGTAAGCAACTCTTTACTGATCTTTCTCCTCCAAGCGATAGTACTCTGAATCCAGAGCGCTCCAGAGTATAGTATAGTACGGAAGATTTTTCTCTCAAATCTTTCAATAATTTCTTCTAGACTGCTGGTTACTGTGCAGGTCCCGGAGCATTTATTGAGGTTATTGTGGAGCCGAGGTAATTGAATTCGTCTACTCTCGAGAACAATTTCTCTTCTACGCAGATCCCGTTATCGTGGTGGTATTTTCGGCTTATTATCATGTATTTTGTTTTATCTTGTAAGTAACTTATAGGCCGATTTACAGTCTTTCATTACAGTCTGTGCGAGTTTCTCAATGTTCTCTTGGTTACTACCAAGAACGGCTATGTCACCCGCATATCTAAGGATTTTATGATTCATTCCGACGTGCATACCTCCATTTTCACATGGAATTCTTATCCAGTGAAAAGTTGAACAACATCGGCTAGGGTCCATCTCCCTGCCGTAAGTAGTTCGAACTTTACAGACTTCAGATACTTCTCCTTGTACACGAACAAATATCATAAGGAAAAAATTAATAATAAATTTTAATTTTCTAAACAAAAATAAGTAAATTTGTCATGCTTGAAATTTGTTATCTAAAAAGTATTTTTTTTTTTTGCTATGAGCAAATCCGTAGTCATTCCCAGGTAGGTGCTAAGTTAGAAAGTCTCTTGGCCACCGCCTTTTAAGTCGTCGGCGTGGAATATACGGGTTCGTGGTGGAATTAAGTGTTTGGGTTAATGGGTTCATGTTGTAAATCAATGTCTGGTGGAAGTTTTTAGGTAACCATTTGGGTAAAAAAAAAAAAAAAAATACCAAATAGTCTACTTAGCTTATAGGCTATTTCTTTTTGGGTACATAACTAAAAAAAAAAAAAGCAAATGGAATTTCATAAAATTATAAAAAAAATCGCATCACCATGAAACGTCAGAGAAAAAAGTAATGAAGAAAAGGGAGCTTATTTGTGCATAAATAAAAAATTATTCAATTTATGTTTGATTACGCTCATGATACTTAGAAAGGTTTCTAAATTCTCTAAAAACAAATATATCGAAATCGAACAATTTTAAATAAAGATAAGGCCAATTGCAATTTGTACCCATTTTTTATTTTACTATTTTGAATGAACCCTTGTAAGCGAACAAGATAAAATTTTTCCCTCTCATTATACATTGCATTTACATCTTTCTATTTAATTACTGATAAATATACTATGCGATGCAAATTATTCCCTCGGGCCAACTAGTTAAAAATATAATGACTGAAATATGACAGGCAGTGAACATATGGAATGAGGTTTTATATTTATATTCATATAGTCATATGTGGTTAAATATATTTTACTTAGACAATTTCGATTTTTTTTTACTTCGAATTCGAATGCGATGAACTTTTCAGAGATGTCAGGGGTAGTATCTTTATCCCAATATCAGTTAGGTTTACGTTAGTGTTGAAAATTTGTCGTGGAGTGTCTATTACCGTTACGTTCATTTATCTTGTTTCCTTTGCTGCTTATTTGAATTTAGGTATTAATTTAACCAATAGAAATAGCGAGGAAACTATACTGACTTGGAAGACTTTTCAAAATGCTTTTTGCCTCCATATTTATGTTTCTTGGCTGCAGGTTGTATTTAGCATTGTTTTCCTTCAAATTATTCATATGCTATTACCGTCTCATCTTCGAACAGTATTGAGAAATTTATATCAAGTCTTACTTAAAACTTTTCAGCCTTATTTATAACACAGTATCCTTGCCCTGAAAGTCAGTAAAGGTGAAGTTGATTTTAATTAGTTTCTGGAGTGACTTTTATTGGAAACCAACTTCGATAAATTAAACTTAATTAATTACTCAATTTATGAGTGAAGATAAACTGTTCGAAATATATTTACTCTGGTGAATCTGTTTGATAATATTTGGGATTTATTTCTATCTAAATTAACACTACTGTTTATTATCCTTACCTATTCATTATTATTTGGGGTAAAACTATTTATTAGTATTAAAAAACAATAAATAAAAGGTATGTTATTACAATATTATATTTATTTATTCTTATTTGTTTATAATGCTTCACACGTCGAAGGGAAAGAAGCTGACGGAATAGAAAACAGTTTATACATAATTTTTTTTATAATCATCAATTTCTTCTAACTTTGACCCAAATCGATCCTGTCGTATATGAAAATATATTTGTCTGAAAAAATACATTACGCGTGCCCAAGTGATAAAATTTGATGAAATTGATGTTGGATCATCTAGGCAGTTTCCCATAAAATCGCTGAAAATTTCTTAAAAATCGAGTATAGGTGATATGTCTGATACATGGCTTTGACCACCATCAGAAAAAGATGGAACCAAATTTATTCTTTGTATTATAAAAAATAAAACTGGTGTGGACGTTTATGAGTAGGACAGACATTTTTTTAACCTTACTAGGTTTCCTAGCATCGGCAGTGAGGAAGCCAAGACATTTTTGTAAGAAGTAGTAAAATGTATGAATTTGTTTTGAATTTAATTTCAAACCTTTTGGTAGGATTTTCCGTGAGAGGATCTTACTTTTTCAAATATAATTTTCTTAAGTGTTTTGTCTGAAGCCCATTCTTTACCTGGTTGAAATGCAAAAGGGACTTTATTGAATATACAATAATAGACGTTTTATCCATTTGTACATTTTGGAAATGGGCAAACATAACAATTTTGCTTTTATCACTATAGATAGCAATAATCCTAGATTATGTTCCGATCATTTTCATTGTCCTGAATTTATGCGCTTAATCGTAATGGGAATGTAAAAGCTCATCAGTGGATGTGGTAATTGGTTTTAATTTAATTTCGTCGAATTTCAATTAGATTGTTTAATGGTTTCAGTATTTCCCATTGCCATTTAGGGATTCCATTCAAACCGATTATAAACGCTATTTGTACAATGATTGGGTTTGCTATTGAGCTGCAATTGAACGCCGTTTGTTCTTATTACCATACATATATTGTCGTTTTTTTCATATTGCCATAAGACAGTAGTAAGGGGAATCATACCAATGGACAATAAAATCAGCTCAAAACATATATGGTTTTCAGAAATGTTATCCTCTCCCCCGAAAAAAAAAAATACCACGATAAGAATTATAATTCAAGATAAAAATAATAATTTATTTATATTAAAAACTTACACATAATTAATATAAGTGTTATCAAAGAAAAAATAAAATCATATTGTAAAATTTTCCTTTAACTCTAAAATATCTGTTAAATAAAGTCGGATATATATATATATCCGACTTATATATGACTTATATATATCCGATATATATATGTATATTATATATATATATATATACATATATTTTTTTTTTTTTTTACATTAGCGAATCATTATGTATTCTGCATCATTTTCTTGAGGTGCGTAGAATACGACTCTAGTATTGATTGAAGCTATATTAGAAAATATTAATGGTAAAGTTTGTAAGATCTTGTTTTTACGGCTGCCTTGATGTAGTGGAATTACTGCAAATGAAAAGGCAGTTTCACAGTCCCGATTAGTGATAATGTTCTTAAGTAGTGTAATCGCAATGTTGTAATGTCGTGGATCAACGAAAAATGATGGGTAAAGTGGCAAAAAAAAAATTAAATTGAGTAACAAAAAAGGAGGAGAGGTATAAAAATACTTGAAATATCCAATGAGAAGCTAAAACGGAAAGATGAGGGGGATTATACTCCCTTTACTAGGTTCACAGTTGGACATCTGATTAAAAAAGCAATATCTCTATTGTGAGTGTAATTTAACCACATTGTACGTATTAACTAAGCGAATAGCTCATGAGCCACAAAGAATTTTCTATGGAACTACTGCACATGTTAAAAGAGGATTCTAAACCAACTATCAGGTAGTTCTTAAAAACTAGGAACACATCTAATAAAATTGTAAATAACTCTAGTGTTCGAAAAACTTAAATGAATGAATAAATCTTTCTTCTCGGACAAATACGTATTTTATCTTGACATTGCCTAGGGAGGAAAAAAGAAAATGTAAATGTTGTTGCAATTTTGTGAACGAATCGCTTGAAACTTTGCCAAAATTGGTCTGGAAGGTTGAATAAGCCTTCAACGGAGATACCTCTGAGCGCGAAAGTTGCCAAGAATTGTTCGAACTGGAAACAATGCAGATACTACATTCTCCTATTTCTAAATTTATTAACAGCCAGTAACAATAAACATTTAATCTTATAACTTTTCCAATAAAAAAAATTATTATTAGGTAGAAACCATCATTGGGGTCATTTTAATTAGGATGTTGAATTATTTATTTTCGGAAATCGCTCCCATACATATTGAGTTACCCTCAACTCATCAACAGTGTATGTGTGTGTAACTTCGTATCGAAGAGATTATCTGAGGAAAACAACAACTTAATAATGGCGTATCAAGTTTATCAGGAAGAACAATGCTTAGTGGTATCCTTTCCGTGGCATTATTCAAGCTTGATGGAGATTTCTTATCCTCGTCCTATTAGTTTTATCATATTCTCCATAAAGCAACCTACTTTTATATTTTTGTGGATTACTGTGTCCATGTAATTTGTCAGAAATATTTCCAAACGAGTTTATTTATTGTATGTATATATAGTTTGATAAGTAATTTTGTAGTGTAAGCTAAAGTTCATGTGTATAAATTTTGCTACCAGAATGTTTGGACTCTGGGATTTGTTGTACATGTAAGGAATTTATAATAATTATGAGCGTACAGACCCCTATAGATCAACCCAAAGAGTCTGTCCGAGAGAAAGGGTTGAAGGGTTATAAAATGGTATTTTTAAGAACGGTCTACATATTTAAAATGGTATGAAACCTAATACTTTTTTAAACGCTAAATACATAAGTTTCCTAGCAGCATATTGCTGTTCAGTATGTTCTGAAACCTCTTTTTCTGTTCTGAAGCATGGGTTGTAGACGTCATATGTGAGATCATACCTGGTGCTTCCCTCATATCCCCGTAAACCGGTAAGAAGCCTATTATACATGTTTAGGAACTTAATGCCTTTGAAAGTCGACCAATGGTTTGTATATATCGAAACTCCATCCGGTTTGTTGTAATTTTAATTATTCAAAATAATATTGTGCTGGCTTTTATTTATGTTACCCATCGGTGGTGCCCATCTGGCTGCAGTGTCATTGGCTTGTATCCTATTTACAGCATGTAAGTATGAAATCGCATGTGTTATACATTTTAGCTATTTTTTCTTCTGATAAAGAACAAACATCTTCCTTATTTAAAATGCTGACAAAGGTGTTTGTCTATCAGTCTCCTAAATTTGAATGGTTCTTATTTATGTAGATATTTTATTTTTCTTATGTCCCATGATGGTATTTACTTCAGCATT